AAATCGGGTGAGACGGGTGGTCTGGGACACCCTGTATATATACATATATGTATATATATATATATATATATATATATATATATACACATATAGGAGGCATATATATAATAAATATATATAAATAATATTAAATATATAAATAAGAAAGTTATAAATTATTGTAAGTAGAAAGAACAAATACATGCGCATGTGTACTTCAACGATAACGTTGCAAAGAGATAATTATTGTTATTGTTATAATTATTGTTATACCGTGCATACGTTTGAAAAATGGTAACAAAAAATTGTAGCTCTAATTGCCATCGCTGCTTCCGAAGCGAAAGGCGACATTTCCCTTCTTCGTTAACGCAAATCCCCTGTTACTATTCCACCGAAAGTTTTAGGCGTTATTAACAACTCGTCTTCCACAAGTCCAATTTTCTGTCCTTTCCCTCTCTCACTCGTAACAAAGCCGGGCGCTCTTATCTAACGCGGTGAGCCTGTGCATTTTTCAAGAAAATTATCCGTTATAGTTTTTCCACCGCTTCTCGCGGCAGCAAAAAGTCGGCGATGGGTGCTCTCCGTTTTTTCCGAAGCGCAGGGGAAAATCGCGTAATGACCGATCTGTCGTGACGACTTAGCCGGTGGTTACCGCGAACGTAGTCGCACAGAGCGAGATAAATAATTGCGAATTGATCGGTGCCCATGCCATCGGCCGGGTGGTTTTATTGTCCGCGAAATTTCTACCTTTTCTTCGCGTGGGAGTGGGGACCGCGTCACACCGAGCAAAGACTGCTCTCTTCTAACAGCTGCTAGAGACCGGTCTCCTCTGGGAGCGCACGGTTGATCGGCCACGTCGACGTAAATGAACCTATGAGTCGTTATGTCGACCAGCACTATAAGCTCTCCGCTGAAGATCGGTCTCAGCTTGATCGGCATGTGGCCCGGCTCTTCATACGCGACGTTCCTCTGGCTCTTCTATATGGTTACCCTCATCGTCATGCAGTACTGCCAGTATTCTTATCTGTATGAACAGGTGAACATGAACGACTTCTCCAAGCTGATGGACGGTCTGTGTGTCACCCTGGACTATACCCTGACGTTCATGAAACTGCTGAGTTTTTGGCACAATCGCCGGTAAGATCTGTGATTGTCTTGTCGCGAGAATCCTCGAGATTGAAGAGAGGAAGAGAGGAAGAGAGAGAGAGAGAGAGAGAGAGAGAGAGAGAGAGAAGCGATAACGAAGGTTAACGATCGGTTGTAGAATATTCTCGGATATATTGATCGCAATGGACAACGATTGGAAAGACGATTGCGTTACGGATTCATACGCGTGCGTGATGACGAGCAAGGCCAGTCTGGCGCACCGCTGCTCCAATGTGATGATGACTCTCAACACCTTGTCGGTCGTGTTCTACTTCGTCGGCAGTTACGTAAGTCACCGTGCGGCTTCCGCGGGTGGTGAGCCGCGGGAGTTCCCGGTGCAAATGCAGCTCCCGTTTAACGCCACCGAATCACCGGTCTTCGAGGTCATCGTCCTGGGCTCGTTCTTGCACGTGTGGGAGACGGCGGTGGTGATCGCGATGTTGAATTCCTTGATTTTGTCATTGGTAAGTCGCCGGACGAGAATATCGTCACACGGAAGAAGTGGTGGATTCAAGTAAATAATTACTCCAATATCCTCAACAAATTTTTTACTCGGATCAACTAAATATATACGAATGCATTTCTTAGGAAATATTTTATATTTGAATCAAGATATGTAATATTTATTTGATCCAAATAAAATATTTTCCAAGTAAATTGTTCAAATAAAATTTACTTAATTTGGGTGAAAAACTTGCTATGGATGAATTGAATGGCACGCCGATGAAGATGGCCTACGATCGGTCGAGTGGCAAAAATTCGCGTTCTCTGAGACATTGCAGTTTCTATTTCGAGGTGCTTCATGTGAGTGGGCAAATCGATATCATGTGCCAAGGCTTGAGAGAAATTTCCGCCAAGAGAAAGTCTCATCCGTCCGTCACGAAATCGCTCATCGCGAGGCATCAGCGGATTATATCTCTATCGAGTAACATTGATAAGTTCTTCTCGTTTGTCGCGATGATACAGTTCTTGTGGAACACCTTAGTGATCTGCACCATAGGATTTATGATCGTGATAGTGAATAAAGCCACTTCGTTCGCAATGGCAGAGAGCGAAGCTCCTTAGGGAAGAAGAGTCTTCCTTGAAATCACGCGGAATGTTGATCTTTCGCGTTTTCACTTCAATTATTTTGCGATGCGATCTTCATAAATGGAATGACAGCAAGAAGACGATCAGAAATACGTGAGTTGCTCTAAATAATTTTACTGACATATTCGGGTGAGGTTTACAATAATAACATCATTTCAAGAATACGTTATTCTGTGCGCTTAACGCTTGAAGTCTTGAGTTTTCGAGGCGCTTCGCACGTGCAATACTATATAAATAATTCCGGTAAAATAATTTGACGTATTGTCACGCAGTCTTTAGGCACGAACATGGACGGCAAATCCGGAATATTGATACAATCCATCTTTCCATATATCTTAGTAACGTTAGAAGCTTTCCTATTCTGTTTCGCCGGCGAGTATCTGAGACACAAGGTTAGCACGACTCGTTTGCTTTGAGCAGTTCTATAAATCGGGGGGTTTAAATTCCCAATGTAGGATATTCATAATTACAAATTGTCAATCAAAAGATTTCTAATTTTGAATCTTAAACTCGAATGTCTTCTATCTAGGACTGTTAATGGATATAAATATTCTTTAATTTTTATGATTTTATTAAGATACATCTTTATGCATTTTTCGCAAGTATTCATAATAAAATGGAGCAGCCAGTCTGTCGAGATTGTTTCTTATATATTGTTTTAATCTGCTCTTTCCTCTTTCTTAGAGTAGATCCATCGGCGATGCGGCGTACGAGACACTTTGGTACGATTTTTCCATTAAAGAATGTCGAATTTTGCTATTGATCATCGTGAGATCTCAGAAACGTTTGACGATCACTGCTGGGAACGTCATGGATTTGACTCTGGAAGGCTTTACAAGTGTAAGATTTATATTCCACGTGATAGATGTGCGATTATTTCAATTATAAAGAAATGTATTCGTGTTGATATTTGTGTTGACAAAAATATACTCGTTACGATCCGTATTCGGACACGCACGAAT